TTCACTGGCCCATGTTGGTATTATCATTGCGCTGTTCCCGGGTGAGGCAGTTGTTCACAGGCCATTGGACGGCCGCTCACAGCAGCTCATGGCAGCTCACAAAAGCTCACACCCGCTGCCGGCCAGCCCTACTGCCGCCTATGCCACTCCCGGCGACTCATGGCAGCCCAGCTCCAGGTTGAGCTGTTGTTCACCATCTTAGCTATAGAAGGCACAGCGTCACTGGCCCTCATGTGGGATCCAAACCGGGGCCCTGCTGCTCAGAGCTGGCATCCCAAGCCAACTCTTAACCAACCCGCCACTCGGCTGGCCCTATTCTTCTAATTTTATAGATGAGTAAAGTAAGGCACAGAGAGATGTATCTTTCTACTCCTTCTAGGATCTGTCTTCCCACTCACCCTCAGGTCTTTTCTGTTTTCCTAAGTATGGTTCATGGACCATCTGTATTAGATTTACCTGGGGTGTTTGTTAAAATATAGATGATTTGACGTGAGCACCGGAAGTTCTGATTTAGGAAGTCAGAGGTAGACCAGGGGCTATGGGGGCAGTGATTCTCAGACTTTAGCAGTTATAAGAATCACCTGAGGAGCTGGTTAAAATGCAGATTCCTGGGCCCTGCTCCTAGAGATCGATTCAGTAGGACTGGGTGGAGCCCAAGAAACTACAGTTTTAACAGCTTCTTCAGCTGCTTCTTTGTGAAACACTGCCCTCAGAGTCTACACTGTGCCCTCATCTCCCTGGACGTTCCTTCCTTCCCTTCTCCACGAGTGATCTCAGATGTATTGCTCTGGACCCAGGGTCCTGAATTTCATCTGCTTTCCAGACTGTGGCCTACATGCTTCATTGGCACCTCATCTTAGTGTGTTCAGAAGTAGATTCATTGTCTCATCCCTGGCCACTGCCCCTCTTCCGGTTTTCTGATGATGCTGTTGGTATCACTTGTCCCCCTGCCGTGACCCTGACTCTTCTTGCTTAAATGTCAACCTCATCCTCCACAATCAGTCCCCAGTTCTTATTTCTCTGTGCCCTATCTCATACCCTGTTCCCTTTCTATTTCCATTGCTTCCACATTACTTCAGGCTTTTATCACCTTTACCCAGGCTCTTGTACTAATTTCCTAGCTTGTCTGCCTGTCTCTCTTACACTGTCAGAGCAAATTCCTTCGAAACTGCTCTGCAGATGGAAGACCAACCCTCTTAGCTTGGCACCATGGCCTTCCATGGGTGCCTTCTATATGGATAGCTTTATTTTCCTAAGGATTGGAAATCATATGTGTAAAGTTTCTGGTCCATAGCTGGCCTGCAGTAGTTGGTAATTATCATTGGTGCTACATTCACCATCTCATAATCCAACTAAATAAAGATCACTTGATTTGTTTCCCTGAGATTTTGCATTGCTTGTATTCGTTCTCCATCAGACTTTCACTGAACTTCTCCACATCTCAAATGCTATCTTTTCTGAGAAACTTTCCCTGACTCCCCAGCCACATGTACTGTCTCTATACATTAGCCCTAGAGGACACTGGGCTTCATTGTTAATATGTTACTGATCTTATGCATACTTGTCCTTTCCCTTGGTTAAATTCTGGGTTCCTTGGGGATGGGCACAAGGGTCTTGGTCACCTGCCCACCTGCCCCTTCTGACTCTTCTAGCGTGGCCTGCCCTTGCTAATGCTCACTAAATATCTATTGAATGAAACCTGTGGTTATTACTGATCATTAGCATGTTTGCTGAGAAAAGCTTAGAATATGACCCCATCCCCAGGTTCATTCCATTTAAAAAAAAGAATTCTTGGGAAAACAAACACAAAAATCCTCCAGATGTAACATACTGAAGCTGAAGTGACTGGTAGGGGAGTTAATACTTTGGGCTAGGGGTTGCTCACTCCACCTTTCAAGACCAGCCCCGGGCATCCTGTGACCCTGGTCACCTGCATGAGCCAGGCTGCAGCAAACAGCAGCCCTCTGAACACCAGCTGCCCTGCCATCCTCTCACCAGGCTCTTTGCCAAATCAATAAGCCGCGTTAATACCCCAGGCAAGAAAATAGTTTTGCAACATACAAAGCTACCTTTGTTCTAGTTAATTACAGTAGGATTTCTGGTATGTGTACTTAGCTGAGTAAAATATGGATGAGAGTTGATTACAAGCATCTCAACCTAACTTGGCTATATTGTGTATTTTTTTATTGCCTGAAATTGTAACTCCATTTTAAGAACTTGATTTAAATTTTGTAAAGAACAACTGTATTTACCATGCTTTGGATTGAGACACTAGGTTCAAGATGTGCTTTTTCAAATAAACATTAAATAATTTTGATCAGTAACCAAATCCCTTACACTTACTATTCACTGTTAAATATTTTGTGAATCTTTTTAGTTGTGGGATCCAAAAATGAATGAAAAATTGCAAGAACTTTTTCTGCAAGAGGTACAAATGGGAGAGCTTTGGTTATCGAGAGGTAAGAACATAAACATTCTTTTGTAAGCAGTTATTTATGGAAATTTATGCTCAAGAATATTTATGGATTGGTATTTGTATGTCAAATAACTTAACTAGCTAGATGTGTTAACCAACTTGCTTCAGTTTAAAGAGAAAGCGTCCTAGCATTTTCACTCTGTCACTCTGTCCAGCTCCAATGGTTATAGAGGCCAGTTTATATTGCAATCTTGGAAGTGGGCAGATGGAGAAGCCAAGCCAAATACAAGAATACCTCATTAATTGTCAGGTAAAATTCTAAGTAAATAAAGTTTCCAAATGACTGCTTGTATGAATCAAAACGTTTACAACTTGTCCTGCCTTCTTAGAGTATCCTTAATAAAATAAGTACTTTTTTTGATGATAAAATCATTATGAATGACCATTCTTATACTGTCTTTGCACTTAATGGTCGCTGTCTTTGCACTGTATTTTAATTATAATTTCCCCTCACCGAATTCCAGATAAATCTGAGAAAACTTCACAATATTGCCAGGTAAAATGATGGTAGAGAACCAGTATTGTATAAATATTGTGTATAATAATCATGTTTTTATTCTGGTGTTAAACCCTGGAAAGGAAAAATTTTTGTTTGAGGCTTCTTATGGGGTAAATGATGTTGCTGGATAAATGAGCATTACACCCATTTATGTATCTTTTTTTAAGCGTTGCAAATTCCCTTGCATATCATAGTATCTGTACCTGTTTTTGCTTCTTATTGTCATTTTTGAGAAGATTTTGTTTTCAGCCTGCATTTAAGAGGGTAGCGTCCTCCAGGATTTATAAAAACAAAGAGGACGTCAAGATCCTGGACAACGCATAGCAATCCCCCAATTTTTACTTTATTCAGGGGTTTAAAACCAAGATAAAGGTTTTGAGAAATAAAAAAAAATATTGCAGCCATTCAAAATCATTGCTCATAATGATTAATCATAATTTGAAATTTTAGCATTTTCGGTATTAATCTTTTAGGTAGTCTTATAAATGGACTAAAATATGTTAAATATTAATGGCAAAATGAATAGTTATAACTGACTTAAGTGCTATAAACAGGAGTGATTTTACACAAAGTAATGAAGTATAAGCGTTAAGGACCTTTATTTGCACAGGCCAATTTGAAGGTGCTGGGAGGGGCCCTACCAATTTTGCATTCATAATTTTATATTCTTTTTCTTAAATAGGGGACCCCGAATTATATAAACTCAGGGCCTCATAAAATCTGGATTAATCTTTAGATATGGATACTCCTTGGATATAAGGGCAATTAAAATAGTATCTTTTTAGTTTTAACATTTATTGAATTGGGATAGTATAAATATGGAGAGGAAAATTCTGAATATTAAAAGAAAAAAGTAACAATTATTTTATTTTTATTCACTATAAGAACTATCATGTAGTTAAGACTTAGAAATCACTATGATAGATATTGAGAATGATTAAAACAAAAATTGCAAACTTGTGTTTTTAAACTTTTCCCTCAAAGGGGATCATTATTTCTGTGAACCCCTAAATTGATTAATTAGCTCTTTAAGGGTATGTAAGTCTATATTTTACTTCTAATGCAGTTCTCAATCTTGGTTGCTTATTCTGTGAATTCCCGCTGAACCCAAACCAATTAAATCATAATCTCTGGGGGTGGGACTCAAGCATCAGTATTTTTTAAACCTCCCTAGGTTATTACAGTATAAATGCAACATTGAGAACCAGCATTCTAATGCAATAAATTTTCACCCAATTTTCGTTAACCTTTTTTAATTTTCTAGTCCTCTCTGCTGCCACCACCAAATGTCATTACTTTGTTGTCAGGTAATATAGTTCTGTAGCCATCTCACCTGTGGTTATGTTTATATTGGGACCATAGAGCCAATCATTTTGATTGAAATTTTTGATTAGCTGATTTGATTGAATTTATTGGTTGGTTGACTTAATCGATAAAATTATTGTTTTTGGGTCACGTTAGTTTTATCAGGTTGAGAGCAGGCATTATATCTTTTTCTTTAACACCCAGTACAAAGTATTTTGACTTAATGTATCATTTCCATAAGTCTATAACTTTGGGTTTAAAATAAACCTTTTAGTGAAATATTTCACGTAATAAATAGCTTTTTTAAATGCCTAAGAAAAGTTACTAAAAACCAGCAATGAAAATTTCTTAGGTTGAAAACAAAATTAGGCATCTATAGACACAAAACCTTGTCTTAAAACCTACATAATATTGACAAGGCTTGCTTTGTCTATGTATCTAAGTTATGTCTTTCTCATAGTTTTTTAGTTTCAGCTTAATACAAACCTTTGGGAAGCAGTTTTTTCTGTCCATCATTCCCTTTTCTCTTCATACGACCATGTATTTCAACCAACAAATGGAAAATTTCAGTTCATTCGAATCTAATAATATATTTAACTGTAGAGAAATCTATTTTATTTCCTACCTAGTTATATTAACTATATCAAAATTTCAACTTGTTATTACATAACACCTGGAGAGAGGCAGCACAATGTAGTCTCAAGGTTCAGAAAATTAGGTTCTGTTACTAATTCTGGCATTAATTAGCTTTGAAACCTTAATTTCACTAAGCTTTGCCTCAGAGGAGTGAAACTCCGTGATTCCATGTTCTAGCTTAAACAGAAATTCTATGACTAACATCTCTTCACAAATTTTCATTCTTAGTTACTTTACAGCCATTCATCCTAAAATTCATTTTAAAACTTTACTTAGAAATCAAAGTTTATAAATCTCTTATTTTCCTCCCCTGGATCTGTAATTCTTGTTACAGTACATTTTGTTTCAACTCTGACAATAGAATCTATTTTTAAACAGTGTCATTTCACTAGACCAAAAGATGTTTCATATATAATGTTTCATCAACCACACATGTAAGGATAAACTACCTCATGGCAATAACAGAACGCCACCTTTAAAAAGAACTCAGTACCCATCCCTCCTGCACGCCCAAATTGCAGAACACGGACATTTCCAAAGAAAACTTTTGAACAATCAGAGTGCACTTACTGTCATTTCGGTCATAATGTAATTTATATTTCAACTTGACCACAGTGAATCTAATTGGCAGCTCAACATTTCCCCTGACATTTATACTCTTTATGAGACTTGCTTGATATGCTTTTTAAGTTTTAATGCTTGGTGCTTTTTTGGTTATTTGTAGAACTTTAAAACTTTGCTTTAAATTTATCAATGTTTCAGGAGAGCACAGAATGGGGATTGAACATCTCAGCAATGCCCTTTTAATGTGTGGGCAACCACAGGAACTGCTGAAGGTTTTTAAACACACACTCCCTCCCAAGGTGTTTGAGATGCTATTACACAAAATTCCCCTTATTTGCCAGGTGAGCAAATATTTCATTATTTTTGGGACATGAACATAATAAATGACCATGTTGGGCTTGATTACATAGAAATAGCTAAGTTTGTGTGTGAATGGCCTAAAGTTTTAAATGAGTAAAATCTCTGAAGTTTTGGTTGTTTTTCTTGCCTTAAGATGAAACAAGCCAATTCATGTTGCTTTGACTATAATGAATTGTATATTTTGTTGAATATTATACATGTGTCAACAGTTCTTTTTTTTTTTTTTTTTTTGGAAAGCCTTGAATTAAAAACTTTTATTTTTCACATTGGGACATAGTGAGCACCTCAGTTCAATATTTGTATGTGTGTATGTTTGTCTGTTTGTAAAACTACTTATTCTGTTCCAAGGAAAAAGTCTTTCCTTAGAGAATCATACATACAATAAATGACATACTTTCTGGATAGAATGTATATATTTCAACAGTTCATTTTTAAAGATAGCATTGTTAATATTTTGTTGGTCTTTGTACTTTCAAAGATACCACAGTGATTGACTGTGATGTCTACAGAGGCCTTTAAGTTAAATAGTATTGTTAATTAAATGACCTAATGGCTTAAAAATTAGATGTAACATAGAAAGCAGTAAATTATCAAAGCAGAACACTTCTACTTTCCATTAATAGGACAAAACATAGAAATCACTTTGTTTTACACTATATGTAAATTTAAACATATAGACTGATTAGTGTTCTCTTAAGTACAAGTTTAGATTGGTATCAAATGAAATCCACTTGTAAGCTGATTGATTGATAGGTATTATTCTACTTACATTTACCAAACTGCTTGGTTTGACTCTGCATCAATTAGAATTTCCTGAAAAATGCTTGGATTTATTTTAGGATTCATTTAGCCATAAGACACTACTTTAACTTTGGTTGACTTTTTATTACACTGATCACATGTCACAGCTGAGAATACACTGTGTATTGTTGGCCTGACTCAGAATCATTCATGTCAGCTTTTGAACAAAACACAAAACAACACAGACTCCACTAGAGCAAATAGTCTACTCTTAAACAGTCCCAAATTAGTCTCAGCTGGGTTGTTTCCAGAAGATATATGAAAATGTAGCTAGAATAAGAATGTGTAATGCCTACCCTGACACAAAAAGGGAGGCAAGAAAAGGATCGTGCATGATATGATTAGCAAGTAACTATTTTATGTATTTACCAGCAATTTGAGGCAGACATGAATGAACAGGAATACTTGGAGGATGATCCTGATTGAAAAAAATTTCAACGTCTCCACAGTCCAGTCAGAATACTATGATACTATATAGTATAAACAACTGCTCAGTGATACTTCCATTTATTTTACTTTTAGTAATAAAAATTTTTTTCTAATACATGATTGAACATATATTTTGCTTTAAAATTAACAGTCACAATTGAAGAAACAATGGTTTATTTTTCTAATCAAATGACTAGGCTGCTGAATCTTAAGGCCTCAACAAATGTTGCATCTTACTATTTTCATTGAACAATAAGACCTTCTATTTTGATCATTCCTGGTAAACAGCAATTTTGTTTCTTCCATTTGCCAAACAGTCATGACAGATGGTGTAACGTGGTGGCTACTGCATTCAGGAGATTCTAGCACATGAATCCTCATTTCCAGTGCAATAGCTGTTGGCAATCTCTCATGGCAAGTTTATCCATCAGGACTTCTCTATCGTGGTTGGCCAAGGAGTCCTGCTTTGGCTGCCAGGGCTTCATTCTGCTGAATATGATATTCCTGAAATCTCATGGATATTCTTTGTGTCATTTTCAAATATTTCTGTAAGCAATGCTCTGAACAGGTATTCTAGAAATAAAACAAGAGACGATCAAAGATGCAACACACACAAAAAAAATCTTAATTTTAAAAAGTGCATGCATTCTAAAAGACCAGTGGGTACTTTTCTTCGAATATATCAGAGAATTAAATGCTATTATTGAGTACCAAGTGACCATAGCTTTCAATTGTTAATACAATAATTAATACAAATTGAATGCCTATGAGTTTGTAGGCACTAAGAACAATAGTAGGTAAACCGCTAACATTTGGACTAGATTTTCAGCAGGTATGTTTTAACATTACTCGAAAGCCCACATTCCCATCCCCTTATTCTGATTGTTATAATGTACGCCCAGTAGCAAGTTTGTTACTTTTTAATGAGAAACTCCATTCTTAACATTAACTTAATTCTCAATCTTTTACCAAGAATATTATACTTAGCAGCTATCAAACTTTGCCATTTATTTAACAAGTCCTTATTCATTGCTGGTTATATGTTAAACTCTTGGCATGAATGTTTATCAGTATCTTCCACTGGAAGAAGTTATGTCACTTTGAGCCAATATATAAATGTTTTGATGAGGATATTGAAAGTTGTGACAACCAGAAGGATTGGGTTTTCAGAGTACACCTATGCAAAATGAGCTACCAAATTCAAGCTTTGCTTTTTCCAAAATTACCCTGAGTTTTCAGGGTCAGATATGAAAGCCATGTCAAGTTTCTCTAGCCAGGCCATCTTGACTGAAAGCTAATTAGTAAGAACCTTTGCAATGAAACAATAACTCAGCAAGCCCCAGGCATCATCTCTAAAAAAGTCTGCCTTGGTTCAATGTGACTGTCACATTCAATTTGACATCATTAAACTCAATGTTATGGGTTCTTGGCTGCTTCAGTTCCTCCAACCAATGGAACATTAAAGGTAGCCCAAATTCCTGTAATAACTAGGAGCAAACAAAATGCTTAGGGGATCCCATTTAAATTGTTTATGACAAGCTTAGAGAACTTTTAGTGGGTGACACTTTTCATACCTCTTCAGGTTTTACTTCTCTTGTTGTGAAGTCTTTAACACAGTCCAAAAAGCAGGTTTCTGTAAGTTTATTGTAGGTTCCAAGAAATTCCTTAAACTACAAACAAATTAGAAAGTTCTTTAATATCTGGTTTTTAAAACAAAAATGTTTTCAAACTTTATTTATTGATTTTTTTTTATTTAGGCAAAAGATCCTGTAATACATGAAATCGAAGGTTCTTTTGCTAACTTAAATGGGTATAATATCTATATAATATAATCTACAGAATATAGTGAAATTTTTTCATTAAATATTTATTTTTCTGGATTATCTGTCAAATTATCTGAAAAATAAATATGCTTTACATCATTTAATATCCATTTTGGAAATGAAATATAAACAATTGTTTTGTGAGGTCACCGATTGACATGGTTGCATACAGTAGTGTCTTAAAAATTTTGCAAAATGTTTTTTCCTTAATTATAATACCTTACCTGTTTTATCTGATCAGATTCTGGCATTTGTGCAGCCATATTCTTATGGTACGTTTATTAGTCACCTGATTTAAAAATTAAAAAAAAAGTTTGTCAATCTTGTAAACAGATGTTTTCAGTAGGCTAGCTGAAGAGTTAGGTAATCAAAACAAGAAAAATTTATGAAATAGAACTAAAATAAGTCTACCTGAAATTACTGTTCATATTTTATAAATTTCTAATTGTGTATGTCACTCTCCCAATCTCCCATATTATTAATGACAACAAAGAACCATAAAGTTTAGAATTAAATATTTTAATGTTAGCTATGGGAGGCAAAGACCCTGTCTCTCTAAATCTCCAGTTTTAAGACAGTTTGCTCTGCTACCTTACAACAAGCCACTAGTTAAAGCCCTCTCCCTAGTAGGGTTTTAAGGGCAACCAAGAGATTTCTGTTGTCTTCCGATCAATACTTAACTATTCCACTGGTTGCTAATATAACTTTGACCTGTGCTAATGATCCTTTTACTATCTCTCTGTACATGCAAAGTTCTATTAATTGTTAACAAACACATTCCATTTATAAATCTACAACCCTCATGAAAGACATTCAGAGTTCTAAAAGACTCTCTCTATGAGGAAGTTACAGGGGTTGTACATTCTGCAATTCAAAAAGGGTAATCACACAACCTTATCAGAAACTTCTAAACAAATGACACTTGTGATCTAACCTGGGGGCAACAGAGAAGTGAACAGAAGGAAGTCAAAAAGTGTTTCTGAATTACTGGGATTTACACTTACTTTAAATGGAGGGCCCAGGCTCAGTCAATCCAGATATAAGAATGTACCACATTATTTATTTATTCTATCCTGGTTAGTTCTAAAATGGATGAACATCTCATATAAAAGATTTGTATAAAATAAAGCTACTTACAATAGAAATTAAACAGCATGTAAAAGGAAGAATAAGCAATACTAATCATGGACATGAGAGTAACAGAATTTCTGTGCATGATATTTAGCTCTCAGTTTCCTGATAACCAATGCAATGAAGATAAACTGGAGATACATATATATGGTTCTTATTGGCTCATCAATTATTAAAGTGGCTCTGAAACGCATGAAATTTTTATGAAGCTCATATGGAGATGAAACTAAGTTCAGGTTTAAGGCAAAGTGTATGCTACCGTCATGAAAAAAATTAACATTCTCATATGATTAATGAAATATAATCAATGGTAATTCCATTCCAGCATTTCCAACCATATATACACCTTCCCCTCTTTTGCATTTATTCTTCTCCTTTTTTCCCCTTATTCTATAAATTAGTATTACTGACATTTTAAAAAAGTCGTTTTTTCTATCTGTAAAGGAAAGTATCAATTCTTTTCTATTTGCTATGCTAGTCTCATTCGAGATGTATAGCCCATAGTTTTTTTTTTGAAGTAATGATTAATAAAAAGTATAATTGTCTATACTTCTGAGAATCTTTGGTTTAGTAGTTACAGGATAAAAACTATCTTTCCTCTATATCTGCTATAAACAATGTAGTAGAGGTCTTATGTTAGCTCAACATTCAGGCAATTTAGTGTTCCATAAACACCTAAAAAGTTAACAACAATGCTCTTTATCCTATTTTATTTCACAGTTTTTAATCTTTCTCTCCCTATCTCTCTGTATGTACTACACACACACACACACACACACACACACACACACACACACGTATTATACCATATAAACTATGTGGAAAAGACCAAGAATTAACTGAAGGTCACAATTTTTCAGATGTTGCTGTTGACGTTCATCAGGTATGTGCTCCAGGTAAGATACTATCCATTTATAGCTCTCCTTAGCTCATTTAAGTCATGAAACACTGATTCCCTACCCTGCAACTACTGAACTGCATAGAAATCCAAACCTAATTATTGTGTCATCTTTGAATATCAACTTCAAACTTATTTATAGTTTGGGATCTTAGCAGTTGCTATTGTAATTAATTGGCAGATATTATATTCAATAAACATCTAAAAACTAAAGACAAAAATTTTAAAAGCAACGAGAGAAAAATGACATCTTACCTATAGGGGAAAAACTAAGATTACAGCAGATTTCTCAACAGCCAACTCAGAAACCTGTATCTAGCAAAAATATCCTTCAGGAATGAAGGGGAAATTGACATTCTCAAATGAAGAAAAACTAAGAGAATTTATTGACAGCAGAGCTACCCTAAAAAAACATTTAAAGTTCTAAACAGAAAGGAAATGATAAAAGCAGACTTGGAACATCATGGAAGAGGAAAAACACAGTAATAAAAAATATGAGTAAGTACAATACACTTTCCTTTTCTTGAGTTTTCTAAATTAAGTTTGACAGCTTTTTTTTTTTTTTTTTTTAGCTGAGCCATCCTGCTACCTGTTGGCAGCTCAGCGGCTGCTCAGCTCGGGCTGGACTCGAACCGCTGTTGCTCNCGGCTGCTCAGCTCGGGCTGGACTCGAACCGCTGTTGCTCAGAGCTCAAACTCTTGAGTGAGCTCTTAACCAACTGAGCCACTCGGCCGGCCCTAAGTTTGACAGTTAAAGCAAAAATTATAAAGCTGAATAATGTGGTTCTAAAGGTATAAATGGGAAACTAAAGGGAGGTAAGGTTCCTATACTTCCCTGAAACTGTAATGTGTTGACCCCATTATTATGATAAACTATGTACATATCAAGTAATACCTAGAGTGACCACTAAAAAGATAGGTAAGAAGATACACTCAAAAACACTATAAAAATATCAAAATGGAATTCTAAAAAATATTGAAATAATCCACAAAGGCAAGAAAAAAAGGAAAAAAAAACCACAGAGAACAAACAGAAAACAAAAAATAAAATAGCAGGGGCCAGCTAAGTGGCTCAGCTCAGTTGGTTAGAGCGCGAGCTCTGAGCAACAGGATTGCCGGTTCGATTCCCACATGAGCCAGTGAGCTGCGCCCGAGCTAAGCTGCTGCTGAGCTGGTGAGCACATGCTCCTAACAACAAGGTTGCTGGCTGGACTCCCGCATGGGATGGTGGGCTGTGCCATCCACAACTAGACTAAAAGCAGTGACTGGACTTGGAGCTGAGCTTGAGCCCTCCACAGCTAAGACTGAAGGACAACAACTTGGCTTGGATTTGATGGGTCCTGGATAAACACAATGTTCCCCTTCCACAATTCCCTAATAAAATCCTAAAAAATAAATAAAATAGCAAAATTAAGCTGTAGTAGATAATTAAATGTAAATGATCTAAATAATCGATTAAAACATAGAGATTGGCAGAGTGGATTAAAAAACATGACCAAGCATATGAAAAACATGACCAAGCATATGCTGCCTGTGAGAAACTCAATTTAAATATGCTATAGGCAGGCTGAAAACAAAAGGATGGAAAAAGGTATGCAAACGTTATCAGAAGAAAATAGTGGATATATTAATATCAGACAAAGTAGACTTCAGAGTAAAGGAAATTACCAGAGACAGAAAGGGACACTGAGGCTCAATCCATTAAGACATAGCAATTCTAAATGTGTATGTACCAAACAGAGCTGCAAAATATGTAGGGAAAACTGATAGAACTGAAAGGAGAAAGAGACATCTGCAATTATAGTTTGAGACTTCAACATCCTCTCAACAACTGATAATACAACTAGACAGAAAATTAGCAAAGATATAGAAAAACTCAACACCATCAACCAACAGGATACCATCTATACTTTTAGAACATTTGACCCAATACCATAGAAAACACATTTTTATCAAGTGCCCATGGAAGCAATATCCTGGGTCATAAAACTAGCCTCAACAAATTTAAAAGAACTGAAATCATACTGAGTTCTCTGACCACAGTGAAATCAAACTAGAAATGAGTAACAGAAAACAGGAAAATGTTCAAACATTTGGAAAATAAATAATACACTTCTAAATAATCCATAGGTCAAAGGAGAAGTCTCAGTAAAAAAATTTATTGAACTGAATTAAACTGAAAATATACCAAAGTTTGTTAACAGAGCTAAATCACTGCCAAGAAAATTTATAGCACTAAATTCATACATTAGAAAAGAAACCTCTTATATTAGATCAACAACCTAAGCTTCCACCTCAGGCACCTAGAAAGAGAGCGAAATAAAACCCAAAGCATGTAGAAGGAAGGAAATAATACACAGCAGAAATCAATAAAACTGAAGCAATAGACAAATCAATAAAGTTGGTTCAGCTAGTTCTTTGAAGAGATTTTTAACCCACCTCTACCAAAGCTGACAAAGAAAAAAAGTCACATATTATCATATCAGGAATGAAATAGTGTACCACCATAGACCCTGCAGACATCAAAAGGATAAAAGGACTACAAACAGCTTTATATACATAAATCTAACCACTTATTCATGAATTTAGTTTTATACTAATATCAATCAAAACCAAAGACAGTTCATAAAAGAAAACTACAGAGAAATATTCCTCAAAAAACAGGCATATATATCCTTAACAAAATATTGTAATAGCTAACATAATACAGCAATATAAAAAGAATTATACACCTTGACTAAGTGGGGTTTATTCTAGAGATGCAAGGCTCATTTGATATTTGAAAGTCAGTCAGTGTAATCCACCTTATTAATAGACTAAAAAAAATGATCGTATCAATTGATGGCAGAAAAAACATTTGACAAATTCAACACCCTGTCATGATAAAAACTCTGAAAACTAGGAAGAGGGGAACTTCTTCAACTTGATGATGAGCCTCTACAAAAAAACCCTACACTGCAGTTAATGATGAAAGACTAAATACTTTCCCCTGTGATGATGAGCAAGGTAAGGTGTCTGCTGTTACTACTGTTACTCAGCACACTGCCGGAAGTTCTACCCAGTGCAGTAAGGCAAGAAAAGGAAATAAAAAACATTCAGATTCTGTAAAGGAGAAAATAAAACTGTCCCTAACTTGCAGATGACAGGTTAAAATTCATATATAAGAACTTTTTCAACCAGAGGTTGGAGGCAGGAAGTATGAAATCTTGAAATGTTCTGTGAGTTTCAGAGACTGGTTAACACTGTGCTGATTCTAGCCCACTTGCCCCTTAGTATACAGCTCACAGTGACAAATGATAGTTGTTATTTGACAAGACATAGATGAGGAGTGCCCCAATGCTGTTGGTATGAATTTTCTTTATTTAAAATTATTTTCCTGGTATTGTCTTTTAACATATAGTCCTTATAGTATATGTCTCCTTAAAATGAAATAAAGTTTATCATGTTATAAAAGTAATATCTATTTCTTGAGAATTTGGAAAACAAGAGAAATAATTCTACTCCAAGACCACTATGTTAACATTATGGTTTGCTTTTCTCTAGAATCATTCAATTATAAGTTATTTTTTCAAATATCTTGCCAGACCTGTAACTCAAGACCTAACAGCAATTTTCTTAAGTCTGCCTAAATCTCTAAAGTTCTTTTCTGTAGTTACCAATACAGGTGTACCTCATTTTATTGCACACTGTTTTATTGTGCTTCACAGATGTGATTTTCTTTTCTTTTTTTTTTTTTTTACCAATTGGAGACAAGCTCCTCCACCAGCAAAAAAAGATCACGACTCACTTTATTGCAGTAGTCTGGAACCGAACCTGCAATATCTCTGAGGTATGCCTGTATCAAGATTACAGTAGACTTAATTGTAGGCAACTGTTCCTAGAGAATATTGAAGATGATTGATTGAATAAATGATTTGCAAATTTACTTGCTAGTTTGGTGTCTTCTAAGTCTTTTTGGCATTCTATTTTGCAGTTATTTAACCATAAATTATGCTGACAAACTCCAACTGCCAAGCAAACCACCTGATAGAGAGAACAGGTAGCACCAATGTGGTTGCCCTTTTATTGGGTCTTAGTTTCCAGATATTACAGCACGTAATTATTGTAGAGGCAAACATCCAATCAGGGGTTACCTTCTATCTCTGAAACCATGAGATGGATGGAAGGGGTAAAGAGTTCTGGAACCCCTGGCTTAGGTCTTAGGAATGATCACAGCAGTGCTAAGTTATTTTTGTGCCAAACAAAATACACCATAAAACCAGAGAACTTAAGAGTAAAAGTAGATCTTATCAGTCATCCAGCTCAAACCTTTTCTGATGCATGAGTTTCCTTTCTGTTCTGAAAAAGTAGTTGTCCAACGTTTGCTTCAATGTCTCCAGTGAGGCCTGATTTCTTATCTGAAAAATGAGGGGAATATAATGACTGTGGAGGCCCCTTTAATAGTCTATTTGATGAAATCTAAACTTTTGTTGGTTAAATCATTTTGTAAAAAGCCTCATATTTATTGTGATCATTTTGCTACATATAGAAATATGAATCATTATGTTGTACACCTGAAACTAACATAATGTATGTCATTTATACCTCAATAAGGGGGG